TCACGCAAATGCCAAATGGTGATGTTCATTGGTACAACATTCTTCTTGATGGCCTTCAGGTCAGAAGACATGCCTTTCTATTATCTATTAAATCTTCAAGGTCAGAAGACATGCCTTTCTATTATCTTTCTCCATGTATAAATTGTGAATAGTCAATCATAATCAGTATGGGGACAAGAAAGGTGACTTTTGTGTCTATGTTTCTGATCACAGGGTCTAAGAGAGCACCCAGTACACAACACACGTTCATTAAATGTCTGTTAACAGAATAAACAAAAAAATCAGCAGACGCTTGGCTCGCATCTTCTCCCCTCCTCCCTCCAAACTGTATTTCTTAGGTGTAACCCCTTCCCAGCCTCACCTTCTTTTCTGTTCAAGGGTTTCTGATTGGTAGAATAATGACTCCCACAGATGCCCATGGCCCAATCCTCAAAACCTGTTACTGTGTCACCTCACATGGCAAGAGAGAAGAGTATGTGGGTGCACCCAAAACATAAAATAGGGTGAATGCTTAAAAAATGAAACWTGGAAACTGTGTATTAAATTTATTTCAATTTAAGATGCCAACCTGTATAAAAATATATGCTCAGTTTGACAAAAATTGCTATAATCATGTAGAAGCAAGACAAAGGATAGCACAGGGAAAGATAGCAGACACTTCCTGTACCATTCCTGCTGTTGATATTGCAGTCACACCTTTAGCCTGTCAGCAGAGTCGTCCTGCTTGGCAGGGCCACCAGGATTAACAGGGAACCAGGCCAAAGTTGGCACAGGACACCTGAGAAAGAAGGAGGGCACAAAGAAGTGTAGGAAAGGGGGTGTAGTAAGCCTGTTTGGGGTGAGAACATTGGAATAGATTGGAAAAGGATTCCTACAGGCAGAGAATGAAYCAAGGCTGTGACTGAGGCAGCAGGAAACAGAGCACTTTGTCCTGGGTCTGGCAATGTCTTAATCTCTTTATGCAGTTACTTGAGTGTCATGACAAACCTGTCACGTAAGTACATTTCAGATTCCGTTGTTGTCATAGGTGGATTGCTACCCCACCCCCAAAGTAATACATTGACACCTCAAGCTTCAGTAYCCCAGATGTGACTGTACCTGGGATGGAATCTTCAAAGAGATAATTAAGTTAAAATGAGGGCATTTGGGCGAGGCCCTAGTGCTTAGAAGAGGAGCTTAGGACACAGTCACACACACACAGAAAAGACCTTTTGGAGATGCAGGAAGGCACTACCCATAAGCCAAAGAGAGAGGCCCTGGAAGAAACCTGTCSTGCTGTATCTTGATCTCAGAATCTTAGCCTCCAGGACTCTAAGGAAATAGAATTCTGCTGCTCYAGCCAGTCTTTGGCACTTTGTTATGGAAGCCTTAGGAAGCTAACACACCCACTCACTTATAAAGACATTGAACCACATATTRGTTGAGTAAATTGCTTTGAGCCCACAGAAGCGATCATTTCCACAATGGGATTCAAGTTCAAACTTGCTCTAGAACCTGTCTTCCTAACCATCATAAGGATGGTACTTATTTTAAAGAACATGTGGTTTGATAAACTAAACTGTGTTAGAAATGATGTAGAAATAGGAAGGGACGGGTATATTAAAAAAAAAAAAACAAAACAAAACAAGAAAGAAAAGAAAAAAAAATTATGGGATTATGTTCCCAGACCATTGAATCATCCAGCACTACCAAATATTTAAATCCCCCTTCACCAGCACTTTGTCAATACATAGAAAGCCTCTCTGCACAAAATATGGCAAACCCAAGGCATGCAACAACCCGGGCCCTGGAGCCCACCCCAATGGAGGAAAACACACAGGTCCCTCCCTGTCCTGGTCACTCACTTTCCTTGGCTTTCCCGTCCTCGTCACTCTCTTACCGCACCTTGCCATGTTTTGGGTCTTTTTTTTACTGCACTCGTTGTTTGATGTTACCATACAAATCACCACACATATTATGACTTAGAACAATGCAAACTTGTTCCACAGTGTGATGGTTAGCACTCTGGACTCTAAACAATGCAAATTTGTCATCTTATGGTTCTGTAGGTCAGAAGTCAAACGCAGGTCTCACCTGAGTAAAATCAAGGTCCGCAGGGTGTGTTCCTTTGTGAAGGATCTGGGAGAGAACCCATTGCCTTGCCCTCCGTTTCCCTTCTGCTATCTTCAAACCTGCAGTGGTCCATCTCTCTACCCTCCGAGCCTGCTTGTCCAGTCACCTGGTCATGTGTCTCTGGCTAGGAAAAGGACCTGTGTGATTAGATTTGGCCCACTGAGATAAACAGGCATTCTCCCTATAGGGCCCAATCYAATCTAATCAAGATCAGATGATTAGCAACTTTAATTCCATCTGCATCCTTAAGTCCCATTTACCATCCAAGTAAATGTATTCATCTAACTTTGGGATCAGGACGTGGTACGTCCATTATAGGAATATTCCACTAGGGGGCACTAACACATTTCTTAATATAATCAAGAAATTCAGGTAATAGGAGTTTGATCTAATTAAGTACAGTATCATCAATTAAAAGAAACATACCAATATTCCTTATTGGAGTTTTGCAAAGCCTGCCTTGCACAGGAAAATAAAGGGCAAAGTAAATTCTTCAGTACCAAAAGTGCCCAAGCATAAAGCAAAGTAAGAGTGAGAATGTGACAAGATTTCTACAGTCTCCACCAGCAATCAGAATGACACGGCAGGGGGTGAGGAATAGCTGTGTATTTAAAGGGTAGAGCACGTGTTCTCTCACACGGGTTTTAAGAAATTACTCCTCAGTCTGGTAGATGCAGGTATGATTATTTTTGTCAAGATACCATTGCCCAGGATGTGTGCATGAAAGATGCAGTGAATTTACCCAATGGTGCCAGGAGGGGGAGGAAGAGAGCAGACATCTGGGAGTATGGGAATAGGAGTCGGGACAGGACAGCTAGAATGAAATGTATTACACAAAATTGCAAAAGATTGATGGATATGTCTCTGAGCTCCCCACCATCTAGATACTCTGTTTTCTTCCCAGTCCTGTTGTTAGGGTCATAGGAGCCTGCCTTGCATAGGAGAAATGGAGTAAGTTCTCAAAATTCTTGCATGCACTAGCGTTGGGTAGAAGAAAGCAAAGGGAAGGTGGTAAGAAGGAAAAGTGGAAGGCAAACACCTGGCTCCTGATGTGGGGACACAGGTTAGCAGCAGCATTTCAGTGCCTTGGTTGATGCAGAGAAGGAAGAAGAGACCAGAGACCTCCTTGTAGTCACAGGGAGGGGTTGGGGAGGGGCYATGTGTCTGAGGAGACTGAATTCGCTGGAAGGGGGACAGGAAGGTAAAGTCAGCAACCTCCTAAATCTTGATTTAAACTACTATGAAAAGTGCAYGGGAAAAACAATAATACCTTGAAGTGTAATTCTTCACTTCTRCAATGTTGGAAGGTCTAAGGGAGAAAACCCAAAGTCCAGTAGACAGAGGGCTTAGCTTAGTGGATGTGGGTGAACTGAAAGGTTTCTGGGGCTGGGGATGTGGCTCAAGTGGTAGCGCGCTCGCTTGGCATGCGTGCGGCCCAGGTTCGATCCTCAGCACCACATACCAACAAAGATGTTGTGTCTACCGAAAACTAAAAAAATAAATAAATAAATAAATATTAAAAATTTTAAAAAAAGAAAGGTTTCCGAAGGCGATATTTGGGGTGGGGGAGTTGACTGATGTTAAATTATTCACTTCAGTGAGATTTTGAGAGTGAAAATGGTTTTCCTTCCCTCAAGACCCACAGGTAGGATGTGGCGGATTTCCCAGCACAACACAAACCCCTATGGGTGAAGTAGAGTCAAGCTCGCTCCCCACACTCTTTTCCAGAAAGGTATGGTGCTGGAACACAGAGAGAGAGAGAGAGAGAGAGAGAGAGAGAGAGAGCACGTGTCCTTGGACAAGAGTCCTCCATGAGAGTCCTCCCTTGCTCACCTGGAATGGAAACTGATGGAGCTGCACCTCCCACCCCGAAGGGGGCTGGCAGCAAAGTCATCTCTGACTTTGGAAGGTGGCTTTGAAACTGGCATGAAACTTGCTTCTTCCCTGGAGATGAAAACTACTTGATAAAGTACTGAAGAGCTCAGGGAAGCTCCAGCTGTGGGTGGGAGGAATTAGGAGGGGTCTGGGGCAGTTCCCTTCCCTCCCAGGAATATCATTGTCTCAAATAAAAGAGCGCAAGAAAAGCTCATATTTTGTGTATGTRTGTGTGTGTGTGTGTGTGTGTGTGTGTGTGTGTGTGTGTGTAGCAYGTGGTACATGGCAGATGTATATAATTTTATTCATCTTAAGTGGTTAATAGAAACTTTAAGGATGATCCAAGGTACTGAAGAGAGAGAAGAGGAAAAGGAAAAAAGAAACTCCTCCTGTGGTCTTGACGGGAGCAGCTGCTGGCTGCARCACCCATCGCCCAGTCTCATCTGCCAAAGAGCAACTGGGCCACGTGTCCAGGATTCTGAGATGGAATCAGAGTGGTAAAATCCAGGATGTGGATTTGACTGTCTTTCCACCTTAGCTGCTTTTAAAAGGTAGCAAGTAAAAAATATACCAGTGAATAGACAGTCGGTAAGATACTTGGAATGCTTTCTGCAGAGTTGAAATGGCATTCTAAAAATAGCAGAAGGCAGTTTTGATAACAGTGTAAGCTTCATGTTCTCACATTTCTGAGTGATGACAAACATGTTTTGCCAGTTTGTCGCATCMAGATCCAAAACACATAAATATTTGGCAATCTTACCAGAATGTATTAATAAGAAAACATGATGCATCCATGAAGACCAGCGGCCTCAAGGAGATTGAGGAAAATGACACTGATCACAGGTGTCCCCAGCCTGAATTGGCCCTGTGACCAGAGGAAAKGGGAGTGGCTTCTCTCCGGGAAATGTCTCTCTGGCCCAAGTAGCTAAATAAGTAGAAACACTGCAAAAAAACACAACTAGAGTCCCCAGGCAGACATCTTCTTGATGCAGGTGTCACATTATGAGGCTACCATGGGCCCCTGGCTCCTGGGCTCTGTGGTCCTTTGTCTCCTGGGAGCAGGTGAGTCCCAGAACATGTGGACAACCCTTGGCCTTAGCTTTCAGGCCTCTGCTCTAGTCCTTTCCTGGGGTTACAGTGTCCGACGGACCCCAGCTGTCTCTAGCTCTGTCTCCTTCCCTTACAGGCCCCCTGGAAGCCCAGGTGACCCARAACCCCAGGTACCTCATCACCAAGACTGGAAAGACGTTGACGGTGACTTGTTCTCAGAATATGAACCATGACTGTATGTACTGGTATCGACAAGACCCAGGATTGGGTCTCAAGCTGATCTATCTTTCAATTAATGTTGAAATYGTTGATAAGGGAGATATCTCCGATGGATACGTTGTCTCTCGAAAAGAGAAGGAGGAATTTCCTCTGACATTGACGTCAACCAGCATCAACCAGACCTCCCTGTACCTCTGTGCCAGTAGTTTATCCACAGCACAGCACAGACAGCTGCTCTCTGCACAAAAAGGGGCAGCCACAAAAATAGGTGACTCCTCCCCAGAAAGGTCCCACCAAAACAAAAGGAAAATTGCTCCCACCACCATTGACCATAGGAGCCCTCCCCACACTCTGCAATGGTTAACACCCAGGGGCTAGTTCTCCTTTCCCCCACCATACAAAGGAGCTTTTCAAAGTCCAAGAAGGAGAAGTCACTGCCTGGGGTCTGGGGTTACAGTCTACAATCCTCTTCCATGTGGAGCTTTAATCTTCAAATACAATTGAGCTGTTGCCCAAATGAACCATTTCATTCCCAATCTACTTGCCACAAAATTGGGTCCCTTACTCCAGGTCCCCTTCCTGATGTCTCCATCCTTGGAGAGAACACCATGTTCTGAAAATGTTCTGAGTTGTTGACTAAATCCAGTGCCCCCCAGCTTCCCCATTTCAGCAGACAGATTCTGCCACCACCAAAATCAAACAAGCCCCAGATGCAGGAGTGACCTTCCCTGTCTCCCCGGCCCATTCTCCTCTATAGCGGATCCCCTGCCCTGTCCTGCACATTCCCAGGTTCTCCACATTTTTACTGACTTTTCCGACCTCAGGGATACACTGTGGACCTGCAAATATCGTCTTTCACCTGGATTCCTTTAACCACACTCAAATGTCAGCCCGCCTGCCAGCCATGCTACCTGCTCCTACACCCTCCTGGGTCTTCCCATTAAAGTTCAGGGTCAAGTTTCTGTGAGTTTGCAAGTCTCTCCACACCCCCATGATGCTGTGGCTATGCACCTGCCCCCCTTCTCAAGGTGGACTTTCCCTTGCCTTCAGCTGACATTCTATCCAGAGATGTTCCGCGTCTCTCAGGCCCACAGATGAGACTTTTGCTGACTCACTTCTAGGCCTTCATCTATGATGGTCACTCTACCTTCAGCCCTCTTCCTCTCCCTGGATGTGCCTCTGGACACCTAACTAATCACTTTAGAAGTCATTTTGAAGCCAGAATTAGACAAGCAGATAGGCAAGGGTCAGATCCAGAAAATGGAGGGATTGAAATGTTAATTCCTTCAGAGCCCTTCCTCCACCCTTGTCAAGAACCTGCCCCTGCTCCAGCCTGTTGCTAAGGGAAACTGCAGCAGGAATAGCCCCCCCAATAGGAAGTTATAAAGTTGTCCTGGGCTTCTCCATCTGCCCCCATATGTCTATGTTACCCCCCCTTTTTTTTAGAGATAGAGAGAGAGAATTTTTTAATATTTATTTATTTTTTGTAGTTATTGGCGGACACAACATCTTTGTTTGTATGTGGTACTGAGGATCGAACCAGGGCTGCACGCATGCCAGGTGAGCGCGCTACCTACCGCTTGAGCCACATCCTCAGCCCACCCCTTTTTAAACAAGCCCTGCTTTATATGTTTGCCTCAGTGAACTTCTCCAATGTTATATTTCAACATGTGAGGGAGCAGAATTCTTCACCGGTAACCAGTGGTATCAATTTCCTCTAAGATGTCCTTAAATCCCTGATGGATCAGTTCCTCTTGTGTGCTCTTATAACAGGCTGAACAGAGTTAATCCTAACACTCAGACTCCACCACAAACTCACCTGCCATGGAGACCAGAATTCTTGGCTGGGTAGACCTTTGTCCCCTTGGGAAGAGGCAGGTCAGATGCCCAGGTATGATACCCTTGAACTTGGTGCGCCAGGCCATATATTAAGTGTTTTTCTTTGGTTATACTTCAGTATCCTTCCTAAATTCTCCCCCTTTTTATCCACAATGTTCATGAATCATGGTGTCACTGAGATCCCTATTAGGTTTCAAAGTCAGAAAAGAAGGTCAGAGAAGGTGAACCACAATGTGTACCATTATCTATATGTGTGAGTCAGGGCAAGAGCCAGGAGGAAGGATACAATTAATCTATTGCTCATTTGGTGCCTGGGGCACCCCAAAATGGGATAGCTGTGAGATATGTGCTRTCTTGAGACTAGACTGAACATTTCTCCCAACCTTCAGACATGCAGCCCCCTCACACACTCTGCCAGCAGTTAGCCCACAACTCTATGCAGTCACTTCCGCTCTGCACATAAAGGGGAGAGCTGGCCTTCCTGAGCCCTGCCCTCACCAATGAAGGCCCAGCAAGAAGCACTCAGAAGCCCTTCCTGTCTCCCCATTCTGGAGATATTGAGGCTCTAGGGGGTCTAGGGCTTTCCATACTAGTCCCTTTCACAGAAATGGCCTGAGTCAACCCAGATTCTCATGCCACCTCTTGGAGATCTGGCCCTCGGACTACCACAGGATGCACAAGCCCTTCCTTTTATTTACCTCTGTGTGCCAGGGAACAAACTTTACCTTAGTCTAAAGCCTTTCATTTAAGCATGTCAGACTACCTTGTACATTTATAGATTTTGCCCMAAATGGAAACTTTCAGAATTTACATGTCTTGTGCGTTTTAGTAAAGAATGACTTTTTTTCTGTTATTATTTCTTTTAAAACCCATTTTAGTAAAGAATGACTTTTTTCTGTTATTATTTCTTGTAACCATGATTTATCGATTTAAAACTTTTTGTATAAGCAAATGGTCCAGTGAAATTTCATGTTGAGCCATGTCAGCAAGTTGATCCATGATAAGGGTCCATCTGTTGGGTGAGGGATCAGTGTTTATGGTAAGGTCAAAACTAAGAATCTGGGTCATGATGACTTCATATTATTCCAAGCAGAATAGAAACTGTCCCATGCCTGTGACTGATTTTGTGTACATAGCTGCATTTTCAAAAATTGATATACCATGAAGAAATCTAAATGGATGATATAAGTGTAATAACTTACAAGAAAAACTTTATTGGAAAATATAAGCATCACTGTGATATCTGTGTCTGACCCTTTTGTTTTGATCACTGGTTTTTCATGTGCACCAAAATCACCTGGTGAGATGGTTTTTCTTTTTGTTGTGGTAAGGACATTTAGCATGAGGTCCAGTAAGCAAATTAATTTAACAAAATTTTATGTCCAATGCAGTCCTGTAAATTGAGCTACAGGTGGTATAGCCTTCTCTTCCGTCATAGCCTTTCTACAGTTGAATAACTGCTCCCCATTCTCCCCATCCTCTTCCCCTGGAAAGCAGCATTCAACACTCTGCTTCTACTGGTTGACATTTTTACTAATGAAAATAAATCAGCCATGGAAAGAAAATGTTGCATGGGAAGAACTCTTTAACCACATAATGATGATAAATGCAGACAATTAATTGGGTTTTGTTATTATTCTTAAATTCTCCACCAATAACACACTCACTGTTGCTTGCATCCACTATTGGTATTCCTCTGTCCCYGGCACCCCACCTGGTGAAACTGCATGTGTGGGCATTTGCACCACTGCTATCACCACTACCAATCACCACTACCAATGCAGCAGCTTGGAAAGAAAGGTGCCCAGTAAAAGGAATTTGCCCCATACCCACTAGAAAAATTGTGTATGAGTACCCACTTCTATGGAAACAAACAGCAGCAATTGGAACAGAAGTACCTAAAAATAAATATTTTGATATACCAAATCCATACTTAAAGACATATACCTCCCACACACATACATACATACACATTCATTCTTTCTCTCTCTCTCTCTCTCTCTCTCTCTCTCTCTCTCTCTCTCTCTCTTTCTCTCCCCTCCAGACCCCAGTCTAGTGATGGAGGAGGGATGGTGAGCATGAGCAGGAAGATGACATCACAGTCAGCCTGCAGCTGGGAGARGACMSATTCTTTCCTCAAAACTGCCATGGGAGTGAGGCTGCTCTGGGGGGTGGCCCTTTGTTTCCTGGCAGTGGGTGAGTCCTGGGAGTTGGTGGCTGAGGTGGGGTGGAAAGTCCTGTCCTGTTATTTGCAGGACTTGGATCCAGGATTTTTCCCTTATCGTACTTCCCATTGGCCTCTCTTTTCACCTCCTCTATCCTCTCGCAGGCCTTGTGGACACAGGAGTAACCCAGACCCCGAGATTCCTTGTCAAAAGGATGGGGGAGAAAGCTGTGCTGGAGTGTTTACAGGATATGGACTATGAAAGAATGTTCTGGTATCGACAAGACCCGGGCCTGGGGCTACGGCTGATCTATTTTTCGTATGATACTGACAATAATGACAAAGGGGATATCCCTGAGGGGTACAGTGTCTCTCGGAAGAAGAGGGAGAGATTCTCCCTGATCCTGGAGTCTGCCAGCTTCACCCAGACGGCTCTGTACCTCTGTGCCTGCAGAAGAGCCACAGTACTGCACAGCCACAGCCTCCCTGCACAAAAAGAAARTGACTTTGCCTCGGCCTGATGCTGGCTCCTGGGGCAGGTTGGTGACAATTAGAAAAAAAGTGGCCATGAACAGGAAACTCAACAGGCAATATTAGTTAGCGGGAGATGATTTCACCCCTGCCAAGTCGGGGTACACTCTGAGGTTAACCTGCCAAACACGTATGTCGTCCCCAACCTGAATCTGTGAGACTCGAGCCAACAAGAAGTCCTCTTAAACTCACACTGAGCCCCATTCTATCCTTTTCWCCTAGTTTTCCTTCCCATTTATATCCAAGTCCTCTTCTTGTTCAGCATCTCTGCTGTTAGTAGTGTCACTAGAGGCCACTAATACATTTTAAACCTTTTGAATAAATTTTATTGGTCATGTGCTGATCAAGAGGAAGTTTACAGAATTGGGATTCTGTTCATTCAATAAAGAKAAACACTCTAATTTTTGAAAAAGTGAATTCTCCAGTTTCTCTGATAATCCTCTTACGTTGGGAGAAATCTAGTCAGGGAGGGAATAAACTCTGATGCAAAGAGTGATAAGAACTGGTCAAGCAATAATCACCCAGAGAAAATGTGTGTTTGTTTTAGAGAATGACCAGACTACCCTGTCAGAAAATCTTAATTGAGACTTTCCTACTTTTGAAATATAGAAGAAATGTTAAGGGTATTAGAAACCCAAATTATAAGAACTTTGGAAAGCTATCAATGAGACAAAATAGACATAGGAAAACACATTTAGATTCAGTGTTGCATTTTTATGTAAAAGAAGTAAGAGAAAAAAAATAAATCAATATGTATTGTAATGCCTAGGATTGAGTTTATATGAGAGTTCAGACAAGACCTGATTTTGGAGAATTTCAAAGAACTATCAAAAGGAAAAAATACCTGTCAGGTATTTGTGGGTAAATGTCAGGTTCTGTGAGCAATCCCATGGGAATGAAGGGAAAGATTCCCTGACATAAGGCTAGAATCACAGGATTCCTTCTGAAGTCAACATCCCGATCAGAGGAAATACATCATCACGATGTATCATTAAGCAACAGAGCACAGGTCTACAAAATTCATATGCAAGCATCTTCGGTGTACCCGAGAACCTGAYATTTACCCACAAATTCCCTATTTCCCACAGCAAGCACAGCACGAACTCAGATGATCAATCATAAGACAGTGTGTCACAAAAGAGGAGGCACTGTGTGTCTGTTCCCAGTGCCCTCTGGGACCATCCGTCATTGTCATTGCCTCCCATGGGTCCCTGGAGGAAAGAGCTTTGCCCCAGACCTAGGTCCTCCCCTATCCTGTGGCCAGCGGCTTCTCCACACCCCTCACCCTCACCCTCACCCTCACCCCCACAGTGATATGGAGGAGCTGCGGGGTGTTGCACATGTGGTAGGGTTGAGTCACAACTGATGACCCAAAAGCTCAGAGAATTCAGTCCTCAGAAGAGGCTTCTACCACACCTGATCATCCTTTTCCCCAGAGGGAGACTGATCCTGATTATTCGGGACAAGAAACAAATCTTTTCTCTAACCCAAAGGGAGACATGGTCTCACCTTTYGGGGCTGATTGCTGTGCAAATATCCTTGATGAGATAGTCCAGAAGGAAAGCTGTTGGGGGGGTGTGGAGAAATGCCAGAGACCCATGAAGAGGTGTCCCCCAACAGCTCTCCACGGCCCTGGCAGAGCGCAACTAGGTAGCACTCCACAGAAGCCTAGTGAAATACTCGTATTTGAAGAAACTGCACATTCCTGGGAAAGAGACCCACACCAGCCTCTGAGTGACCCTTTCAAAATGGTTGGTTTCCAGCCTGGTCTCTTCAAGTGAACTCTAGTAAGCAAGTGCACCATGTTACCAGACACTGGGGATTTCATGCCCCGCTTTAACATGAATAAGCGATCAAAGATCATCAGTGTGTGTGTGTGTGTGTGTGTGTGTGTATGAGTGTGTGTGTGTGTGTGTGTGTGTATGTGAATTGAACTCGGGCATTCTACCACTGATATACATCCCTATCCCTTTTTATTTTTTGAGACAGTGTGTCACTGAATTGCTGCAGCTGGCTTTGAACCCACGATCTTCCTGCTGCAGCTGGCTTTGAACCCACGATCTTCCTGCTGCAGCTTCCTGAGTCACTGAGATTATAGGCTTGTGCCACCATGCCCAGTGGTATTTCTAACATTTAAGAAAGAAAGCAACTTGGTACAGTGACACATGCCTGTAATCCCAGCAGCTCAGGAGGCTGAGCAGGAGGATCACAAGTTCAAAGTCAGTCTCAGCAAAAGCAAGGCATTAAGCAACTCAGTGAGACYCTRTTTCTAAMTAAAATACAAAAATAGGACTGGGAATGTGGCTCAGTGGTCAAGTGCCTCTGAGTTCCATCCCCACATCCTCCCCTCCCCAAAGCAAGAGAGAGAGAGGGAGACAAAAGAAAGAGAAAAGAAAAAGAAATAATGGGAGCAAAGAAAACGGAGGCAAGCAGACCTAGGAAAGGAGAGAAAGGGAATTTTCAAATAGCGTCATGCAAATGCTTGCTTCCATCCTCAGGTAAAAGAAATATTCCATCCTTAAAATGGTACAGAAGAAATATATTTCAGGGAGGACACCTATAAACTTTAAGAAAGGCAAAATAAATTGTTTAAAATAAGAGTCAAAAGAAATAGAGCAAAAGAGACAGAAAACATGAAAAGGGAACACTGGTGGCTGAAGGGGTCAACACAGGAGAYCCAACGGCTGCCCCAGAGGGGTCCCAGAAAAAGGAAAGAGCAGCTTCCCTCAAGGAAGTAATCACACAAAATTTATTCCCCAGGAATGGAAAACACGAGCCTCCACACTGAAGAGGCAACAGTGTTTTTGATGAATTTACAACTAAAACTAAGGCATTGCTTTATGAAATTTCAACACACGGCAGATTCAATGATCCTAATACTATACTCCCCAGGACAAAGAAAACTTATAGCTTAAAGCTACATATAAAAAGCTATAAGAGAATTAGAAAGCCAAATGACATTAGATTTCTCGGCAACACTGAATTCTAGAAAGCAACGATGCAAGAAATATCTATAAAATTCTGATAGAAAATGATTTTCAACATATATTTCTCCGCAAACTCAAGATATCGATAAAATACAAACAAAAAGACAATTTTCATTTGTATTAGAATCCAAGACTTTTACTTCTATTTTACCCTTTTTGGGGATATTACTGAACATGTGCCCAAAGGAAACTGTGAGAGAAAAACAAAATAAAAGGAACTCATGGAAATCTTATTCAGAATAACAGAACATTAGACAGTAGAACTAACTCGCAATCAGTCCAAACTGTAACAGGGGACTCTAGAATTACATTTTCAAATATGGCCACAATACGGACTGTGGATCTATCTTGTCCATACTGTTTCAGTAAACCATCCATGGATTCTACTGTCAGTTTGCATGGCTTATCCAAAACCCAGATCCATAATGGAGAAGGTGATCCCATTAAAATGAATCTAGAATTTTCAGAAGCTTCATATACACAGAGGAACCAGAAAACTAGAATCTTCTGATCATTAAGCAGCCTTAAAAAGAATGAGGCAATTGTGACAATGGCCTGGCGACTCCTGAAGACACACCTTCCAGGAAATAACAACCATAAATTCTAGACACAAATTTTGAAGGCCTAGCTGAAGGCACAGCAAAGCAACCAGAAGCAGGCAGAAGCTACAGGAAAGACCACACTTGGGTGAAAAGACAGTTTTCTGTTTTAATATCTTTTTCTGCTGGGAAGCATTTCTAGTCACATAGAAAACCGTGAAGAACTCAGCTGTGKAGTCAGGGAGGATGTTCAAGAAAGGGGAAGGCCACAAAAGTGCAAGCCGATGTTCTCACACAAACCCTKTCCAAATATCTGGTTGAGGCCTGAATGATGCACATGAAAATCACAGTCCAGCCAGCCATGCTGAGGCTGAGAGAATTAAACAGCAGTTTCAGCTATTGCCTACTCTAGAGGAACAGAATTTGAAGTCTGAATTGAAACAAGTTAAATTTTTATTAAAACAAAAAAGCCAAGTATCCCCAGAGGGATGAAACAGAATCCCAGATGTACCTTTGACAACATTCAAGGTAACAACAATAAAATTACTAGGCCTATCACTCTTAGTTATGTACCAGTCAATAAGGCACAGAAAACTGAAAAGCCAAGGCAATCCTCTGTAGTATTGATGTTAATGTCTGAGCTATGGGATCAATAGGAGTGGACTGGAATCTTCATTTTGTTACTAATTTTGGGATTATGTGAATCTGGGTGGGTTAAGTTCTCTAGGTCTTACCGGTAAGATTTCCTAATTCATAAAAGGAATGACAATAGCAGTCTAAATAACATAGCATGTAAATAGACTGAAATAATACATGCAAAGCAGAGTAAGTGCTCAAAAATACTAATACTTCTATTATGCAAAAAGAAACAATTTTTGGTGGTTACAGAATACAGGAAACTGGCTGAATAATGCAAAGGAACATGGGATTATGATCATTTTACAGGACTTTTGCTTAACCCCTACTGAATTGAATTTGAGTACAAGTAATCTTTATTAAAAGTACCCAGGGATTAAGCAGTTGTTGAATAATGATGGATGAGAACACGGATAGGTGGTGGGCTGTGACAGGTGCGTGCTGGGATGCCTTGTTAAACGCCCATTCTAAATGAAGAGCCACACACTTCCACTAGGGGGCAGACCCAGTTCTCCATATTCTGGAACAGAGCAGGTGGGGAAGCAACTGCAGGGTCAGAAGGAAAGATTATTTCCATCTGACTTTTAATGCCTTTTCTCAGGGGAGAGGTCATTGACTAAAGATGTGGGCTGTCCTGCTACTTCTCTTGGGACGAGGTAGGATCTTTGTCTGGGGTTCATGTTAGTGCTGAGAAGAGGTTTGGAATATTTTCCCTCCAGAGGRTCCAAAGCCACCAGCTGGGATGGGGGAGATGTTAGATTAGAGGATCCTGACAGGATGACGATTGGAAAGACAAAAAGGAGGCAGTGCTGGGGGTCCTATGGGAGCTGAAGTGATATTGGAGTCAATGAAGCAGAGACCTTCCTGTCTGGGGAAGGTCTGATCCTAAGCGAGTTAGCCTTAACAGGTCTCTGTCTCTCTGTAATCAGGCTTTGTGTCCAGTGTTCTCCTCTATCAAAAGCCAAGCAGGAGCATCTGCCAACATGGGACCTCTGTGACGATCCAATGTCAGGTGGATAGCCAAGTTTCCCTGATGTTCTGGTACCGTCAGCCCCCGGGACAGAGTTTGATGCTGATGGCCACTGCAAACCAAGGCTCTGAGGCCACATATGAGAGTGGACTTGACAAAGATAAGTTTCCCATCAGCCGCCCAAACCTAACATTCTCAACTCTGACTGTGAACAACGTGAGCCCCGAAGACAGCAGCTTATATCTCTGCAGTGCTGGAGGCACAGTGCTGGACACAGATCAAAGATCTGAGCAAGAACCTCAGCTTCCTCCTACCCAGCTGCCCACAAATGATCCTGAGGACCCTGAAAATATGGAGTGGGGGAAACCACTACCTCTGGGTGGGGACCGTCTGTGTGTTTGTGAGTGGATATGGACATGAATAGTAGACTGGGAGTGGACAGAGACTGTCGGACTAGCCAGAGGATTCCATCACAGTCAGGAAGAGAAGCTCTTGGGTGGCCAGGGGCAAAATTTCATCCAGAGGGTGTGAGTAAAGATAATCAGATAACAGTTTTTTCAAAGTGACAGGATCAGATATACGTTTTAACTGTTCTGTCTCAAGGAAATATTTAGCTTATTTTCTATCATTTTATCTCAAGGCTCTAAGATAGCCTATTCTCTATCAACACAGGTTTGGGAAGGACCTTAATCATCTTGATATCATGGTGGTCTATAGCACTGATGACATGCTGACTGTTCACAGTGAACACAACCTGGAAACACTGTAGGGGCCTCCATGTGACATATGCGTGCCAGATCAATGTACAATCTGCAAAAGTTGAGACCTGCCACCATGCTCCAGAGGTCAGGGGCTTGTTGGAATATCTTCTTTAAAGTCAGAAATACACTGCTGAAATTCATATCATCTGCCATGGATGATGCTTGATCTTTTGGGATATTAAACCAGCCTTGGGACATAATGTATTTGATTGTGCTCCTCTGGTCTGTAAATATGAGGCAAGTACAAAAGAGATTCAATAGCAGAACAGACTGTGATGAAAGCTTTCTGGTGCTTCAGCATTGACCAAGTTGACCCAATAGTTCTCGAAGAGCCCTGTGTCTGATAGGGATGCTCTATGAAGGTCCCTATCTTTTATTCTTAATAAGAGACTTACTCAGCTGTGTGAAGCAAGTTCACTCTTCCCTGGTTACCACAAAAACTCTGCATCTAGGGCTGAAGTTTTACTACTTATGAGCATCACATGAGACAGAACATTCACATACATAAGTGACATAAAGAGGGTTTATGACAGAAATGGCTCAAGAATGCTGCCCAGGGTAGATTGGATCTCTTCTGCACCACAGCTGAGGAATCCCAGAAAGAAGCCTGGTCTGGATTTTATACCCCAGGGTTGACATGACATTTTGGGCTAAATTTGAGGCCCATCCTGTTTCCAGGAGGAGTCCAGTGGAGCTCAGGCTGCTTTACCAGTTCCTCCTTATCTTAGGAGGTAGGGTTCTCATTACATTCTACAGTTATTCTTGAGAACTACAAGAGACAAGGCAGGAAGTGGGGGCTTGGTTGGTCCAAGGCCAACTGAAGAACTGTTCTTGAAGGAGATGCAGAATTCTGGTATAAAGTCATACCCTCTTCTACCTGCCAACATCTGTCCTTCCTTAAAAGGACATAAATCACCCTATTATTAAATAGAAAATGCCAGAAGGAGAAATTCAATTTCAAGAGCATGTTGCAGAGTTTCATAGTACTCACTCCTAGTTTCTCCCCACTTACCCTCAATCCACACCCCATTCTRTGAATGTGGAAATTACCCATTTCCAAGTGAAAAGCATGGGCCTGTTTTCTGGATAGGTTTGAACGTCATTCTCGAATGAACATTACAGTCTCACACACATAGGATTCAGAAGTTAGTAGTGAAAGTAAAATCCTCAGGGCCAGAACACCAGCCCATAAACCTGGCCTTTCACGTTTTATAGAAGAGGAGATGCCGTGCAGTGTAGCTCTCTCCTGTGTTCAACCTTCTTTCTCATTATCCCCCAGTATCTTTACCATTTCAGTCCTACTTTTCCTCCTTGGGCATCTTCCTGCTGCATTCTGGGTAATTTCTTTAGCACCATTGTTCACTTTCCTAATTCATACCTCTGCGCCAATAAGCCACTTACACTTTAAACTGACTTTATTTAAATTAATTTTAATTTCTAGGAAATCTCCTTGAGTCTCTTATGCATATGAATGATTGCTTGAAAAATCATTTGCTTCTTGTGCATTTCTAGACTATTTTATTTCTTTAAGAATATCAAACATCTATTTGGATCTTTGATCTGATAATGCCTTTTTGAATCTGGTTTTCCTATTTGGAATGTCCTCTGAATCTCACTCAGAGTGACCTATTTCCAACTATAATATGTGTTTTGATGTTGTAAATTCTTCTTTGGGAATTCCTTAAAGCCTGGACTAACAGTGGGTTTTCCAGGAAGTAATTATATTTGCCTTTGTCAAGCAATTAGGGTGCTATAAAACCTAGTGCTTTGTTATTTTATAATTTTATAATTTGTATCTTCACCATAGAACAACATCTGTTCAAAAACCCCCGTGGACTAACTACTCAGTAACAAGAATTAGTCAGAAGAAAGTCTTTTACCCAAGCCAAGAACAATAAATAATTTTGCTTATTAATATGCATTACTTCTGAGTTATTTTTCTAATTTGTCCTTTGCTGAGTGTGTAGCTTTTCCTGTGTCACAGCCTTCCTGTATCCTAGTTGCTGGTCCTGTGCTGGTCTTCCCTAGACCTGCTCCAGGGAGTCTTCAGCTTCTACACATGCTGATCCTCTAGATCACAGGGAGCCATGCTACATCCAGTTTTACTAGGTCTAGTGGCATCTTAAATTCCTCATACCCCATGCCCCCAAGAAGTAACAGTGCCCTGCAGGTAAGGCCTGCATTGTGTAGCAGCTTCCTGTGTTATAGCAAAGTCACCTCCTTAGAAGGCATAATGTAGCAGTGCAGTTAGGAACTTAAACTCTGTCAACTGACACACCTCAGCTTAAAACTTGGTTCTACTTYATCATGTTATAGGAGTAACCCTGAACAAGTGCACCGTTTCTCTACACATTAGTTTTTCATAAATAAAATGAAGATAATAATATTCAGCCATATGGAAAAYGATTGGGTTTTCTAACTTTACAAAGGAATAGGTTGTGTGTGTTGATTCTTGTTATAGACTCACAAGGGAACCACGGAAGCCCTCCTGTTCTCATCTTTGCATGACTCTTTCTTATTCAGGTGTTAGCTCAAGTATCATCTCCCCAAAGAGAACTTTCCTGACCACCTGAACTGCACTGCATATCACATGACCACTTTACTCTGTTTTAATATCAAATCACTATTTCATGAAATAAAATGTGTGTGTATGCATATCTAGTTATGTATGTTCTGCCTTCCATTTCAACCTTTTTACTTGTATGGATTCACACCTGCATGCCACAAAAGTGAAGCACATTCCCATGTTCTTGATTGTTATCATCTTAGAGTCCATAACTTCTGGAATGCCACAGAAATTCAGCAAATATTTATCGAATATTTAAGCATGACTCAAAAAAAAAAAAAGGAAACCTTGCTAAGCAATGGTGTACCTCCCTTGGAGGAAAAGTCCACAAAGTCTTGGGGGCTTAGACAATCTAATCTAAAAAGGAAGAAACAGAAACCTCCAACTCTATATTTGAGCAAAGATTTCTATTTGAAGAGAAAGGCACATAACTGTGTGTGCCAAGCCCCTCTGCGGCCTTCCCCAAGCCTGGGAACTGCAACAGATGTCACAGGTTCTATGGAGGCCCAGCCCAGAATCTGCTCCAGCACAGTGGTCCTGAGGTGCAAGGGCCTCAGACTGGAAATGTGCTGGTGCCCRTGTAGACGTAGCACTCTGTTCTTAACCTTGGAAGCCAAGTTGATCTAGAAGAGATGGGTTCACCAGTTGGCTGCTTTCCAAGTGGTTGAAACAATCTCGACTTTTTATGAACCGAATGAGCAGACATAGTCTGGCTGACCAATTGGATTTCTCACCAAACTTAGTTTATGGAGTTCAATTTGGATCTAATATGATTTACAAAACTTGATACACACATCCTGCATTAAAGTCTGTCATCACACATGTCATAGGTTTTACAGTAACAACAGCCTGCATGGTTATTCCTCCAAGACCCCGCACGGCCTCTCTGCTGCTTATTCTCTGATAAACTGGGATCACTTGAGCATCTCCAAGAGGCCCGAGAGAGTGGACAAGGAATGGTTGCAGTATGAACAAAAACACTCACTGTTACACTACAGAAATTGACCTTACACAACCTTAAAACTTCCATTGCTAGAGACTCCCTCACTTACCTCTCCACAGTAAATAAGGCTTGAAGAATAAGTAAGATATGCAAATGGAAGTTCCTTGAGCATTAATTTTGCATGTTTTCATGGCTCTAAGATGGGGAGCAGGAGACAGGGCAAGAGAAGAAGGGGGCTATTAATATGCTGATTAGCCATGACCAGTCTGTGCTTCTAATGCCTCTGTCTCTTCAGATTTTCTGGATCACACAGAGCACCCCCTTCACTATCCAGATTCAGTTATTCACAGAAGAGATATTTAAAAGAACAATTTCTTATTGAATAAAAAGAAATAGTTTTGTGGGAGAGGTAGATAGCTTGGGGAAAAAGTAATGGATGAGAGTAAAAGAAATAAAAGGTTAGGGGGAAGACAGTCTGGAATTTAATCATCTGGTTCTAGAGTGATAAGGATATTGGGACCAAGCAGTAGTGGACAGGAGGAGAAAAACCTAATGTGGGGGGATTTGATAAAAAGGTATTATATAAAGATGTGGATAAAAAAGTGTTATAAAAAGAAAACAGTCTTTATACAAGCAACAATAAATGTAGGCGAGGATGTGGRGGGAAAGGCACACCTATACATTGCTGGTGGCACTGTAAATTGGTGTAAACCAATCTGGAAAGCAGTATAGAGATTCCTTAGAAAACATGGAATGGAACCACTATTTGACTCAGCCATCCCACTCCTCGGTCTATACCCGAAAGACTTAAAAACAGCATAATACAGTGACATAGCCACTTCAATGTTTATAGCAGCACAATTCACAATTACTAAATTGTGGAAACAACCTAGAAGGTCTTCAATAGATGAATGGATAAAGAAACAATGGTACATATACACAATGGAATATTACTCCACATTAAAAGGCAATGAAATTATGGCATTTGCAGTTAGAGAATACCATGCTAAGTGAAATAAGCCAATCTCAAAAAAAAACCAGGGGCCGAATGTTTTCTCTGATAAATGGGAGCTAATCCATATGGGTGTTGGGGGGGCCTGGGATAAATTTGGAGTAAATTTGGATAGGGCAAAKAGGATTGAGGAGAGAGGGAAAATGGATAGAAAAGATGGTGGAATGAGACAGACATCACTACCCTAGATACATGTATGATTGCACAAATGCTGTCACTACTTTATGCACAACCAGAGAAGTGAAAAATTCAGCTCCATTAGTGTACAATGAATCAAAGAACTTTCTATTATCATGTACAACTAATTAAAACTAATGAAGAAATAAATAAATAAAAAGAAAACGGTCTTCTTTTCAGACCACTGGGAGATCAGAAAGACTCCACTATGCAACAACACGATGGAAATAAACATGGTTTAAAGAAGGGGAGATTCTGGTATTATTCCTACATTCCTCACTCAAGTGACTCCAGAGAAGTGACTTAACCTTCAAGATTTAGATTCTTTATCTGTAAACAGGTGAAAACAGTATCTGTTCCCCACTGCCTTAGTATGGAGGATGAGGTCACAGGAAGGGAAATACAATGTTCGAAGGTGGAACATGCAGGCCCAGGTTGGGGCTACAGTGTCTATATCTCATCTTTCCAGCATACTGGCTGCGTGAACTTGAGCAAATTACTTCACCTCTAAGAAGCCCATTTGATTATCTGCAAAACGTGGAACCCCATAGGTGGTTGTGATGATAAAATGGAAAAGGTCCATAAGACTTGCAAATAATGAGCACACAGAAACTCTTCACTGGTGTCTTCACTGCAGGACAGTGGTTTGATATGGTAAGCACCAAACACAAGCCAGGGGAATGTCCTGGTGTAGACAAAGGAATCCAAAGGTACAATACACAGTACCAAGAACTGTGTAGACATCCAAATTGAGTTTAAGCTGCTGAATTCTGAACCCAGTCTATTCGTCTGAACTTAGAGTATGAGACAACATAGTCTTTTTCTGTGACTCCCTTCTCTGCCTCTGAGGCAATTCCCACTACTTCGAGGAAAGCTGATCTCAGGCTACATAAGTAGGAGTACAAAATGTCAGAAGGCTAATCTTAAGCTTTTAAATAAAAATCTTCTTGCCCTTGGAAGTTCCACTTTAGACAGAATCAGGACTGCAGAACCTCTCCAAAACTCCCCTTCTCCCAAATCAATTTCCTGTCTTCTGCCAAGGATCACTTCCCTTTGGGTCACACATCCAGGTCACCCTGATACCTACAGATACTAGAAGAAAAGTCTATCTTATCCTCTAAAGTAGTACTCCTGTGGACCCTCTATGGCAAGCAGGCAAGACAGCAGCATGCTAGGTGACACCATAGAAAAAAAATCACCTATGATCCTGGCTGCACAATCTGGCTTCCTCGGACTCAAGYTGCTTCTGAGCCCAGAAACCTGTGTCCATGCACTGGAAATGGGTTGGAAGTCATATCAAGGTAAGGCCCTGAGACAAGGTTGCTGGTGAAATATTAATTCAATGGTCTATTTGTGCCGGAAGAAAAGTGCTAGAAGGGAACCTGGTGTATAATTTCTCCTCTGGGGACCTCTGGCTTGATCCCCAATAAAACATTAAGATGCCACCTGCAGCAAATCCCACACTTCACATCCCTTTMCATTCTTTTTGTAACCTAGAGGCCAACTCTACCCCTTACTAGATGTATTCCTGGGCAAGACAGAATCCTTCTGAGTCTCTGCCACCACCTCTGTAAATAGAAATAATTTCATTCCTCATACCTCATGATTAAAACTTGTGTAAGAAGTTAAATGTGAAGTTCAATACAAAGAAAAAGTAATGTGCCACTGTTGTTGGTGCAAAAGTTCTTGAAAAGCTGTGAGGCATTGTACAAATAAGTCAGTATTCTCACTTAGGTATGAGTCCATGAAGCATTTGAAGGGGTGCAGAGTGGAGGAGAGAGCGCTGAGCTGCAGGCCTCTCATGCAGCRATGGGACCTGAAGGTACCCCATGAGCCCCACACTGCATTTCCTCCAATTCAGTTTCCATTTCCTCCATGTTCCATCCTTTGTACCATGTCTAATTCAAGCACCAGATGTGGAGCTGAGCTTTCCTTGCTTTGTTCAGCATCTTCAAAACATTCATACTTTTTCTACTTTTTAGAGAAGTCAGACATAAACTCTGCTCGCTCCTGGCCCCCTCTCCAACCCTGAGATGAGAGGACCTGAGAGACAAGAGCATCCTGGAAGACTGTGCCTGCAACTGGCTCACATATTAGACACAAGCACGCACACCATCTCCTTCTACACTCATGCCAAGTTATGCCTTCGTGAATTGAAATGCCGGATCCTGATGATCATGGTGGGTCTCAAATTTGGGTCTTATCCAGGAAGGTGCACTCTGTACTGAACCTAGCATAACAGTCTCACTGCAGGTAAGACGGAGAATTCCAGAATCTGCCCCCTCCCATGTCTTTGTTATTGCATCCAGTGCCTTACCTCTTTACAGTGAGCTAACCTGTCTCCACCTGTTGCTGATTCTCTGATCAGAACCCAGATCCACCTCTCCCCAAACCCTTGCTAATCTGGGCATACAACTCGAGCTCCCACAGTCTTCTCCGAGACGGTGGGCACTTTTACTCATCTTAGTGCAGATTGGCAGGGCAACTTTGAGGCTGCTTACAGAGAACCATGACAGTAAAAGCAGTGAGAGAAAGGTCCTGGAACTGAGGGAGAGGAAGGATGTGGAATTGGTCTTCCATCCCTCTAATGGATTGGGGAATCTCCTACTTAACCTTTGCCCCACCTCCTTTGAAACACTCCCCACCCATAAGACTTGCTGGAAAGAAGAGCCAGCTGAAGCCCAGGCGCCTAAAGAGCTCTGTCATCACCTCTTGATGGTGTAGTTCTGGTTCCCAAAGGCCTCACGCTCGGCCTTCCCACCAAGTGGATTCAATTTTAGAGACACATCTTCATACTGAAGCCTTTCCTCTCAGGGGGACTCCGGGATCCTGAACGGCCAAGCCTGCTACGGAGGGGGTCAGGCCTTTCTCCAAGTAAGTTAAGTAAATCCCCATGAGGTCAGAGGATCCAGTACCCAGGCCATCTTGCCTCCTCCTAACCCTTAGCTCCTCAGCCTCAGAAAGTCCAGCTGTGAAGATGAGGCTTGGCTTCCCCAGCTTCCCCATCCCAGTGCCCCTCCAGGAAGCAGCTGCTCTTCGCTCGAAGGTAAGTTTCTTATCACTTGCAGGTCACCTATCCACAGAGTGGCCAAAAAATAGCCAGGCTGATGCAAGACTGGGAATGGGAAAGCTGCAGGTGTGTTTGTGCAGGGACGTCGGTGACCTTTCATCTCGAACACCCTCTTCTCCCTCACTGGGGAGGTATAAAGGCGCCTCTCCACCACCTGCTCACACACACCTCTGCCACCATGAATGCCCTCCTGATCCTGGCCTTTGTGGGAGCCGCTGGTGAGTTCCATGTCTTGCTTTGCCTGGGGCCCTGCCCACCTCTTTCCTGGAAGAYACCTGCCCTGCCATCATGGCGGACTCTCCTATTTCACACTCACTTTGATGTTCTCTCCCCTGACCTGCAAGTCTCCTTACCCGTTTCTTGGGCTCTCTGTAAGCCTTACCTCTCTCATGTTCTCCCTGATTCCACTCCCACCATCCTCCTCCATCTGTGTCAGGGAGGCTGGTGAGGGAGGCCAGGTGCAGGCGGTCCATGAAATGAACCAGYAGCCCTATGGTGTGACTATGTAGTTCTGGCATAGCTGCTTGAGTGYGTCTCTCCTAGAAATTCTGACTTCATGTGTCTCAATTTGGGCCTCTATGTTGGAKTTTTTAATTTCCCAGGTGCTTTAAGATTCCCAGGTATGCAGCCAAAGTTAAGAATCATTGGTCAATAACAGTGCCTCCTGCCTATGTGAGACCAAAGGCCGMTTTCTAATCTCTCCTCAGTGTACAGATCTGAGCTATGGTAGGAGCTGGGTATAACCAGGGCTACTTAGCCAGCCAGGCCAAACCATCCTGAGAACCCCGGGCTCACAGAGCCATGGGAGGTGGACCAGTTAGGGCGATGACAGAGAAGCCCTCTGTGGGTGAGACGATGCAATTCTGACGTGTATCCCACTAAGTACATTTCTTGTGTCCTCACCCCAGTTCCCCCCAAAGAACTCTGAGCCCCTGTAGGGTATCTGCTCTGTGTCTTGCAGATGCAGGCCCTCAGGACACTATAACCTGTGATGCCCACAGGGGTGGCAGCTCCCTGCTTGGCTGTGGTTGCTGCGCTCATTAAGGAATCTTAATTAGCAGGAGGTGGCCAAGGCTGTGGGCTCTGCCCTCCACAACCTGCTAAATTGATTTCTCCCTTCCTGTCTCCACTCTAGTTGCTCTCCCCATTGATGACGATGACAAGATTGTCGGGGGCTACACCTGTCAGCAGAATTCCGTGCCCTACCAGGTGTCTCTGAACTCAGGCTACCACTTCTGTGGAGGCTCCCTCATCAACCAACAGTGGGTGGTGTCTGCCGCTCACTGCTACAAGTCGTAAGTGATGGGCTCTTGGTGGCAGGCTCCACTGCCCGGGCCTCCTTGGAGGGCCTGGGTCAGTCCCGGGAAGTGCTGAGGTCGTGATGTGGGTGGGGAAGGTGAGGGAGAAGTCGCGGGGAGCCACTGACTTCTGGAGCTGAGCATGAAGAGYGGCCCGAGGTAGAGACCCTTCTACCCCAAAGACGTTCCTAAAACTGAAGGGCTAGGTGTTGTAACAGCAGGGAGGGATATTTTGTGGTGGTGAGAACCAGTGAGGTCAGGCACAGTGGCACACGCCTGTAATCTCGGCGGCTTGGGAGGCAAAGATAGGAGGATTGTGAGTTCAAAGCAAAAAGCCAGGCAGCGTTCAGCAACTCAGTGAGACCCTGTCTCTAAATAAAATACAAAAAGGGCTGGGGATGTGGCTCGGTGGTTGAGTGCCCCGGAGTTTAATCCTGGGTACCTCCAAACAAACAACAAAAAAGAACCCGTGAGGAGGGCAGGCAGGGACCTTGCACAAGCACTTTCCTGCCAGTTGGCTGCCCATTAAAACCACCTAAGAAACAGTTAAAAATAAATAAATAAAACTTGAATGCCTGGGTCCTAKAGCAGAGCAGCCAACTCGGCCTTTTCAAGAAGAGGGTGGTAACGACTGGTGAGTTTTTAACCCTTCTTTCTGTACCCAGAACTGAGAACTAATGTCTCTGCCAGGTTTTCTCCAACCTGAGTGGGATGGGAATCTCCTAGAGGGCTTGTGAAAACCCAGATCACCAGGACCATCCCTGAGGTTCTGGTTCCRTGGTCTGGGGTGGGCACTGAGTATTTCTGACAGGTTCTCAGGTGACACTGCTGCTGCGGGTCCCAGGGACACACACTGACGAGCTCCCACAGAATGACAGTGCTTGCCAGAGGGAGAGGGAGAGCACTGGTCCCTGCGGGTAGTTCACAAAGGGAACTTCAGGTCYCTCTTTTGGGTCTACAACTCTGGTTGAGTGAAGGGTGAAGGGGCTATGGGTCAGTAGTGTGAGGAGGAGTCATCAACCACCGTCCTTCACCTCATCCCCCTCCACACCACCATCCCGGAAGCAGAAAGGGTCCAGGTCTCCCAGCAGGACTCGCCCACTCCGGCCCCACTGCTCCTCTGACATTGTCACATACTCCAGGCCACGCCTCCAGAGTTGCCCATGAACAGGGAGCTTGAGCCCCCTGGGGTGTCCTGGGCTCTGGGRAGAAACCCTCACCAGGCCTCTTCCCAACAGTCGCATCCAGGTGAGACTGGGAGAGCACAACATCGAAGTCGTSGAGGGGAATGAGCAGTTCATCAACTCRGCCAAGGTCATCCGCCACCCTAACTATAGCAGCCGGACCCTGGACAATGACATCATGCTGATCAAGCTCGCCTCTCCTGCCACCATCAACGCCCGGGTGGCCACCGTGTCTCTGCCCACCTCCTGTGCACCYGCGGGCACCCAGTGCCTCATCTCTGGCTGGGGCAACACCCTGAGCTCTGGTGGTGAGTGGGACCCTTCACCTCCTMCTTCCCTCCAACCCCACATTTCCACACTTTCCAATCATGTTCCTGAGTGTGAGCCCCTTTGCTTCCAGCCTACAAATCCCCCATAAGTGCCCACAACACCCAAGGCTCTGTAGTGGGTACCAAGAGATGCGAAGTCCCAAAGAGTTGATCCTAGAACCAAAAGAACACAAGTAGAGAACATGCCATTATTACTTCTAAGGATGGGAACCAAAAGCCATTGTTCCTTTCTGGGTCTTGCATTCTTGAGCTCCTTTCCAGGAGTGGCCCACTGGATCGTTCTTCTCCAACCTGGCCCGGCTCATGTTTTTTCTTTCCTTCATTTTCCGCCCCTTATAGTCAACTACCCAGACCTGCTGCAATGCCTGCAGGCCCCGCTGCTGAGCCAGGCTCAGTGTGAAGCTGCCTACCCTGGACAGATCACCAAAAACATGGTGTGCGCCGGCTTCCTGGAGGGAGGCAAGGATTCTTGCCAGGTGATTTGGCCCTTCCACATATCAAGATCCTTGCCAGCACCCAGGTCCYACCTGGGAATAGAATCTGAATACCCAAGTGTGGTGAGGCTGGGTGGGAAGGCTCAGTTGGGCGGCTGCATGCCAGCTCCTTAGAAAGGACAGAGAATGGGTCCCTGTGAGAAAGATATGGAGCCACACAGCTGGGTGGGTCTTTAAGGTTCAGAATAAGTGTAGCTATATTCCTCTTCACGTCCTCTTTACTCAACCCTCCTCTCCAGGGTGACTCCGGTGGCCCTGTGGTCTGCAATGGTCARCTTCAGGGAATTGTCTCCTGGGGCTATGGCTGTGCCCTGAAGGATAATCCTGGAGTCTATACCAAGGTGTGCAACTATGTGGACTGGATCCAGAAGACCATCGCTGCCAATTAAAGTCCCTATGCCTGTCCCTCTGAAGTCACCTTGCCAATAAAATTGCTCTATCCTCACTGCCTGTGTCTGTGCCTGCTCCTCCAGAACCTTTGGTCTCAAAAGCATCCTCCGGTCTGAGGTCAGACAGAGCTCTCTCCTGAGAGATGATGAGCAGAGGCCCCAGTCCTCAAAATAATCTCCAGGGAATACTAGATTAACAGCATATGAAGACCTGAAACCCAAATAATAATAAGACACAACAGGCAGGATGATCTATTTTCTCAAGAAAAATGCGTTTCCCAGAGCTTCCTTGACCTTGGTGCTCGGGTGGGTCTTGATTGTGCTGATGCGTGTGCGGTTGGTTGGTAGGTAAGATCCTGTCTTCTCTATTCAGCAGGAAYCTCTTTGTACCCAGAGCAAAGACAGCTAGGCAAACCTCAGCCCCGATCACCTCAGCTTCCAATCCCCTCACCCATATTCTGGTGGACAAAGTGCTGCACTCCCTCCTACCTGCAGATGTCCAACTTAAAGAAGAGCCCATCAGCCATTTCCCAACCACCTGCCCAGGGTCTGGAAGGAGAGCAGAGCTCGCTAGGTGTCCATCAGTCACAGCCTGAGAGGTCTGCCTTTGGTTCATCCACGTAATATGTATACACCATTATGTACACACAGTCCTGAGGGCTTTAGAGGTGTTTGCACACTTAGTTCTCTCCCTTCCAGAGTGGCTTTTATTCCAGTGGTGCAGATGGAAAGCAGAGGCTAAGAGAAGGTTATTAGCTTGCCCATGCCCAACACCCAGCAGATGGTTGACCCGGGGAACRCCGCATCTGCCTATGTGCACACAGTCCTGCCTCCCATTCTCTCCTGCTGCGATGTCCATCTGAAGTGATGAGACCAGTCTCTCCAGCCCATTTCCTGACTCCCTGAACCTCCTGAGGGGCTCCCCCTGTTGCTCCCTTCCATGCAGCTCAGCTGCTCCTGCTCATTGTACTTGGTTCACACCGTACTTGGCTTCCCACAGCATTAAGAATGAACCTCCTTATAATGGAAATGCAGGGTCCTTGTTCTGCCTGCTGCTCTGAAGCTCTCCTCCAACACTCAGAAGTCCTGGTGGCTCTTCCAACAAGCCATGCACCTCTAGCCTCTATCTCTGGACACCATGACTCCACCAGCAAGGATGCCCTGCCTCATTCTCTCCAGCCTCTTCAGAAAACTCTTCCCTGATGCCTTCTTCTCTTTCCATCCTGATGCTGGTCCCAGTGGCCTCRGACCTGAGTCAGGCATCCTCCTTCTCTGCCCATTTCTGCCATGCCTCTGCCCATGGTGCCCAGACAGTGGCTGAGCTGATCCTGGCATGGACTTTGACAAGAGATCAGGCCCTACTCATGCAGATTTCTCCAGTGATCAGACAAATCCCAGGATAGAATAAGCACCTAGTGATTAATGAAGAAAGAGTAAAAGGAAAAACAGATCCTGAGAAAGGAAGGAAACTTTCAGAAGAATGGTTCTCAAAGAGCAAGAGCGGTCCCTGGAAGACAGCACCAGAATCACCAGGAACCTTGGGAGAAATGCAAATGCTGGGCCCCTCGCCAGACCCACTGAGTCAGAAGTTCTGGAATGGAGCCCAAGAACTTGCATTTTAACACGTCTTCTGGGTCATTCTGATCACATGAAAGTTTGAGATCCAGCGTGGTAGAGAAATCCCTAAGCCAATACTTTCTATGAAAAGAATAGTAGTAGCTAGTGGTTTTACTGACTCTATTCAGGCACCAGGATAAATCTTCAGATGTATTATATCATTTAGTGCTCACAGCAGTCCCATGGGGTGGTTATTATTGTTGTTGTTGTTATTCTCATTTTAATAAGGAGACTGGAGTTTATAGCAGTGTGGTAACTTAACCAAGTTCTCCTAGTCTTAAGTGGGAGCGCAGTCAGTTTGGGATGCAGGGGGTAGGCTTCCCTGAGGGCAGGGAACTCTAGCAGGGAACTCAAGTCTGGAGTAGAGGTGTCATCTCTTTCTCATCACTGGGCAGCTCATTTTAGCCTCTTTAATTTTCATCTCTTCAACTCAAAAAATTGAGTGGGTGGGGGGAAAGAGTTTGAAACAAACCTATGAACATGTTTGAGCATTCTCAAGAATTACAGATGAGAAAAATGTTATTTGTATGTGTCCCAGTTTCTCCCCCTTGTCCCACAATATACAACTTCAGAAAGATCCGGCATCCCTCTCCTGTCCCCACCAGTGCTCTGCACATTCTTCTGACCCCCTCAAGTGGCCAAGCCCAGATTGCATGTACTGAGCTCTAAAAAATAAGGAAAGATTGCCTCCTGCTGCCCAAATAGATGCATGGGCTCAAATCAACCAGTGTATGCTGCTTTTACCTGGTAGAAAGAAAGAAAGAAAGAAAGAAAGGAAGGAAGGAAGGAAGGAAGGAAGGAAGGAAGGAAGGAAGGAAGGAAGGAAGGAAGGAAGGAAGGAAGAGCTCTGTGTGCATTATAGCCCAATGTCCAAAGAAGCAAAACTAAGAAAAGTTCCATCAGATACTATGATATCATAAGACTAGTTGGGATTACTGTCCTCAGATGATTTAAAGGGAAGCTAACTTATCGGGTAAATTATTGATAGGCAAAAGGGGTGAATAAGACAGGAAAACAGATCTACTTGAAAATAGATCAAAGTAAAGTCTATGCCACAATGAAGAAAGAAAATGAATAAGAGAACTTAACTACTTTGCAATCAATGGAAGCAATCGACCTTTTATTCAGGCTGTTGGTGGTGTGAGATCTGTCACAATTAATGAGGCAAATAAATAGATGTCTCCCACTTTCTTTACTAAATTCTAAGACCCAGGCCTTGTACCCAGTTTAGGGCACCCCTGGCTAGCACTCTGATATTCTCCAGGGCTTACACCTGTCCAGTTTCCATCAGGGAACCAACTATGGGTCCCATGCTTGGCACTGTGACAAAAATACCCAGGAGAATTTTCTCCCTGTTTTTTAATTTAAATATGTTGGTAAACCTAATCATAGAGATTTTAACTCAAGCTCATAAGGATTCATTAGAAGTCTGCATTTCTCCCAAGCTTCCTACAGGACTAGGAATTCCACTGATCCCTGAATTCATGACCATGAATTTGCTCCTTATATAAAGTGATCCTCTTTGGGAAAAAACAATGGCTTTGTAAATTAAGTAAGCRTTGCTTTTTTAAGTAGGATATTTTCATACACTATTCAAAGTAATATTTTGTTTCTCTTTCTTGTTTAAATTTTATTAATTTAAGTTTGATTTTAAATAGTATAGTCATCTAGTCTCAAAATGGAAATAACACAATGAAGTTAATACYGAGAGATGTAACCTGTATTTTCACTGTCCCTGCCCTTGCCCATTCATCCTTCATAGGTATTCACTCTTACCAGTTTCTTTTGTATCCTTCCCATGTTTCTTTGTAAAAAATCAACTAAACAAATGTATATTTCTCGTTTTCCACCTTTGTTGGACAAAATGGCAGAATACGTCTATGCAGTTCTGCAGCTTGCTCTTTTCCAGTTAATGATTTATCTTCAAGATCTTTCCAAGCATCTTATTAATTTTTTAGCATTTAATACTATTCCATTATGGGAACATCAGAGTTTATTGATCCCATCCTGTTCTGAGTTTTTCCCAATATTTTACTTTTCTAAACGGTGCAAATATCTCTCCCGCCTTCAATTGTATGCAGCAGTGTTTACAATATAAAYTCCCCTAGTGGGACTTTTGGATGAAAAGGCAAATGCTTTTGCTTCCAAATTGCTTCACATGAGGTGTGTCATTTGCATKCCTACCAGCAAAACAGCATGTTAATGTGTTTATTTCACCAAATGCTACCTGGGAAGGACGGCCTTCAGGATTTCATTTTGTCAGTCTAATTGGTGAAAAGTATTATTTCAATGGATTTTTACTTTACATTATTGCTGTGATAGTTTTTCCCTATAGTTAAGTACCATTTCAATTTCTTTTCCTCTGAACCATCTGCTGTTTGCCCTTTTTTATAGGGCTGTTGGATTATTTTCTTGATTTTTAGGAGTTTATCACATGTTGGGGGAAATAGCACAGAGGGCGTGAATTGCAAATCTCTCCCCCACGTTCTTTTGATTTTTTTTTTCTATTTTTCTCTGCAAATGTGTCATTATTATTTAGTCACGTTTGACTTTTTCCTTCATCTGGATTTTAAGTCATAGCCCCCCCCCCAAAAAGGAAAGTATCATCTGGGGAGAGGTATCCAGGCCGCCCAAATGCARGTTAAATTTCAAAGTCATCTTGTACCTGAGGGGAAAAGATACCTGCCGGAACTTAAAATGTCTCCATCCTTCAGGGAAGAGAGCACAAAGGCTGTGACCTTGGAGTGGCCTTGAAGGTGCTCTCCATCCAGCCCCCACAGGATTTCCCCTGCTCCCTTTACCTAACTGAGCTTCTGAGGCCAACAGCGAAGCTCAGGATGGCTGCCGCTGCCTGTGATCTCCTCTCATTCCAAACTGGTCCCTGGAAATACAGCTATTGTTTYCTGTATCTAGAACAGTCCTTGCTCYCTGTAGCTTGTGGTCAATTTTCCACAGAACTCTGGGACCCAGCTGACCACCTGAGAGGCTCAGGATCGGCTAAAGAGACAGTCTGAGTCCAGAGGGGTCTGTTCTTGGGGCGGGGCTGAGGTGAGGGGTGGTTCTGGGACTTCCGTGACAGGGTAGCTCCCTGCTGTGACAACAGCTTGGTAAGGGGTGGATACCAGGGAAACCAGCCCCCTCAGCAAACATTTCTATAAGTCACACAGCCCCCAAGTGGGGTACGAAGGGAGCCCCCAGCCTGGTCTGTGCCCCACCATCTCCCCACAATGGGGGGTGATGTCCCCTGCCCCTCCTGTCTCTACCCCCTCCAAGAAGCAGCTGCTCTGGTGGTTTCTGCAGCCTCTGAGGGGTGGGGTCATGGGAGGAGCCCTTTTTGTATAAAGCTGTAACATTGTGGGGACAGGGGGGGCCACAGTGATTCA